TGACAAATCGCGAACGGCAAACGCGAAATTGTTTATAATTACGGTCAATTAGGACAGTCTCATTAATAAACGGGTCAAAAACCATGACACTTGACAGCGTGTATCAGGTGTATGTGTTACAGAAAGCTTAACATACATGTTAATACAAAGAAGTAAACTAACACAAATATTCAACAGCCAAATATTGCAACTTTGTTATGCACTGCATATAATTATAAGGTCTAATTTTATGGGAGCATTTTTATTTCACAAAACGTGTAACAGTGCGGCACAGATATTGTTATAATTTGTTTCAAATTAGCTATAATGTACATTTTCATGTTCATTTGCTCATTATTTTTGCAGTAGTCGGTAAGACAAGTGAGACAGCAGGCAAATATGTCTTTGGTACTATGAATTTCCAGCTTGCTATAGCTCGCCTTATTAGGAGAATACCTGATAATATTAATATCCGAATAGGCACTAACTATCATGCAAGTGATCATGCACTTAGCTATAGTATTTCATGTGCAAGCAGCCAAAATACGAAATGGCGCCAATCAAGTTTGTGTGCGCGGGAAGGTAAAATGTTGATCAATTTTATGAAGAGCTACAAATATGATGATACTACTGGGTACGCAGAAGATGTAGCTGCTACAATTTAGTATAGCTGCCTTATCCAATTCGTCAAATTAAAGGCAAAGCGTTTAAACATGGGCGAGTCGAAAGGTATGAACAATACAATATTTTTATACAATATTTATGTTAACAAAAGTTATTCAGTGGCATTGATCCATTGAATTTCATCATGCTTTAATTAATTAAATAAAGTTGGTTGAAAAAAGCTTCAATAGTTTAACGCTATGTGGCGTCGGTTCAGTAGCGTACCTATAGAACGATAATTGCGGGGTGTTTATTCATATATTCAGTTCTGCATGCCCGACGGATTTCTTTTGTAAGAGCAATAGATTACAATAGAAATCCGTTAGGCTGAACTGAATATATGAATAAATACCCCCAATTAACGTTGTAGGTTACGCTACTGCATCGGTGGTTAATTTTACTTGACATATTTCATTAAGCGCGCTTTTCAATGAATACTTCCCGCCAATCGTTCCACCTTTTTGTTATGCACAACGTTATTAGCTGCATATTTTTTAATTTTAAATCTTGCTCAATATCGAAATACGACACGCAGTGGAATATAAATTATATATGGACGGTCTTGCAATCGATCGTCATTGAGAATTTGTAAAATATTAGCAGTGAAACCAAATGACAAAGTGTTGTTGGAATGTCATTTTCAATAATGGTTATTTCCCAAAATTCGTCAATGATAATTTTACCCAATACTCCGCGTCGTACGTAGAATTATAACCTTCTTTACTCCTTTAGATTGCTTATTATGACAAGGGGAAATCGAATTCAGCCACATCAGGCATTATGGATAAACAATAGTTGAAAGGTTTCCTGAATTTAAAGTGGCTTGGTATCAGGTTTGCATACTTTTATATAATTAGCTTGGTGGTCACATAACTAAGAGAATACATTAAGGGGTACTAACACACAGCCAAAAATAATTTCTTTTTCAAATATTTTTTGAATAAATCTGTGTGTTGATACAACCCTTGATGCAAAATAATAGAAGTAGAAAAGAGAAGAAGTAGAAAGATTTCGCCAGACAAAATTATACATTGGAGTAATCCATTGAAAACATGTGTTTGGCAGAATCTTGCTTTTTTATCCTATAAGTACATATATAAATAGGCAGGAGGCACAAATTGTGTCACAAGAGATGTCTCGTGTATGTATGTGTTTGGCATTTTCGTTCCTATATGGGCGGTTGCACTGCTATATTTGCTCTGCAACAAATTTTTTGCGCACACTCTCTATTTTAGAACCGCTGTTTCTATATGGGCAGCCAACTATTGCTATATGCTTCAGTTGAAAAACTGCGCACTTTCGCCATGCCAGGGTCGAGTGTTAAGTTGTCTTTCAGGGCGGACATTCCGACTGCGGAATTACGGACATCGTAATTGAATATGCGGACGGCGTTCTGTTGCAGGACTAACAACATTCTATTTATTTTTAGGGTAATTTTGCTATAGGCAGATGTAGGTAGGCCTAAAAAATTAGTTATTAACTGACTACATGTTCATGCTCTAATGTAGTATTTCTACGATGAAATTCTTAGAGATATAAATATGTGTGGCCACCAAGAATTTATTTATAGCTAATTCGTTGCAACAAGTTTTAAAGTGATTCATATTTATGATATATTCACCTTATATTCCTACACGAAAAGTTCGTGAGGAAGATGTGATTTGGTGAAACTCAAAGTCAAATATGACCATATATATTTGCAATAAAATTTGACCATTCTATATGTAGTCGTAAGTCGTATATATGCCCATATAATGGAAACGCATACAACTACGGGGTAAAATATGGCGATGAAAACGAAGAATAAAACCACGCAACGACGCAAAGCTTTCCTATGCTTCAGTTTGTGCTGATAATGAAACCAAAATAAATTCTATACAAGCTATTCGAATTTCTCAATTCTTTACATTTTTATTTGCGAAATACATCCCGCATTTCATATCTAATTCCGTAAATTATAAGAATTGACCTGCTTGTAATTCGGTAAATTTAGAAGCGGTGATCCTGCTTCAGTTTTTTCCTTTATTGATTTTTTTCATGGATGATATATCAAATTTCACGAATGACCATTTTATTCGGTCAAGCATATTGCGCAGGTACTTATAGACACATTGTTTTTAGCGCAGAACAATATAGCTCATGGTTACTAGAATTACAAATTGTAAGTGCAATACTGCTAGTGAACACACGCGGTGTCTTATCTTCCCCCAGTCATCTCTTGGGTAGTCGTCAGGATATATATATATATATATATATATATATATATATATATATATATATATATATATATATATATTGCATTCTGTCAAGATCAATTACATAATCCAATTTCAACAACTTATATAAAGAGATTAGTTGCATGTGCCAAAATTTGCTCGGGCTGTTAATTCCTTAGCAACACTGCAACACTTAAGTATAATGAAAAATATAGGCTTATCGCAGTGTTCAAATTCGATTGTGATAAAGTTTGCAAGTGGCGGCTTGGCGCGATAGTACATTATTACACAGTCTGCGGTTAACATAATTACATAAACGCGCATTTTTAGCAGCATATACTGTTAGATCGTGTACATAATGAGTGCACTACAAATACATATCCCCGAGCACTTCGACCAGTCAAAAGATTTCATTATTATTATTATTATAAATTGCTAGGCATTGTATTTCAGGCTTGCAACAGTATGACCGCGACCAAAGTTTGTACGGCATCATTCCGTTTTAACTGCAGCCCATATAGGAAAAGCAAAGCCTATAATATATATATGATATTTGTTTAGAATCACATATGAGTAGAGTGCTCGATATACCAAAGTATAAAAGCTAATAAGACGATATAAAAGACAATAAACTTGCTTTAGTTCATATGATTGTATTCACTACAAATTTGTTTCGTATAACAAGCAGTGCTTGCCACACTCATCAGGTGAATTTGAATGTCGCGCTATATAGTTGCCATGGTTATAGGTTATATAGGTTATATATTATATATATATATTATATATATTATATATATATATATATATATATATATATATATATATCCTCACCAAATAAAACGTCGAAAAAACGCATTTGCATTGCATTTACAGCAAATTACTTTGAGAGCATGAAAACAGAAATTACTATGCTGGTTCGCATGCATACAAACGGAATTTCTTACAATAGAAATGAATAATATCCCAGCACATTTCTACCTGGAATACCCCAGGAATATCACCAATATTCCAAGCCGTATTCCGCGCTGGAATACCTCCGATTATTAGGCATATTCCATACCATATTCCGAGTAGAAATACTAGCCCGAATATGTGACTTTTTCCGGACAATATTCCGGGCAGAATACGTCGGAATATTCGCCTTTTCTCGCAGTGTAGGACAAAATACACCTGATATCAACCGAAAAGTAGGTTAAAGCTTTTGTCCTGAAATGGATTTCGTGTCACACGCGCTAGAAACATTATTCAGCGCATTTAAACTTGCGCTGTCATTTTGCAAATACAACTAATAACGGAAATCTGTCAAAAATATAATCGGGTATAAAAATCAATCAAAGGCAGTACTGCGTAAAAGAAAATGAGAAATACTTATCTTTTACAGCGATGTTCCAGGGCCATGTTTAAAAATTTTCTAAGACTCGTACTTCTTCACACGGTTGCGAGCACATAACAACGCTCGACAATAATCTAACGACGACCACATTGTAAACATCCATAATTTGACAACGCTTCAACTTTTAAGCTTTAATTTTTTTTTCATACAGTCCCCCACAGACTTGTTTCACAAGATCATGTGGCAGACAAGGGTGTAAGAGATCATCGATCGTTGTGTTATAAATTAGTTAAGTATATAGTTAAGTAAACTGTAAAAGTATATAGTTATTAGGGTTATAAAAATAGTCACTAGAGAAAAACAACCGAACAATCGAGGGAAGTGGTTTCGCCCTTGCACACAAGTATGAGGAACATGGTGAAACCACAGATAGCTAACAATGCATAGATACGCAAAGGAAATGGTAGGTAGGCTGTGGTCAACCAAGCGAGGAACTAATGTAGATTAGCGGGAAATTATGGGCAGTCAAGTGCGTCAGCACTGACCTTCCTCTGAGAAACGAACATCTCATGGTTGAAACAGCAGACAGTATAAATAAGAGAGAAAAGTGAGAGAGCGAGAGAGGGTTTTGAACGGAGTGACAGAGTGTTTACCGAACGTAAGTGATCAGACTTGTAATGAGCTATTGTTAATAAAAGTTGAAAACGAATTGTGGTGTCGTGATAGTATACAGTCCCAACGAACGAGAACCAGCAACTATAAAATCTGAGGGATTTTATAACACGTGGTCCTTCGAGCCGGATCGCTAGATGTCTGATCAACTAAAAAAGCAAAAGAAGGTGAGGAGCGGCCACAGAGGATTCGTGGCAACGATCTTGCCCGAGGCGAAGGCAATCGCGAGCGACTATAACATCGAACAGCAGACCAAAGCGACCCAACTGAAGACGGCGCTAACAGAACAAGTCGCGTTGTTAGAAGCCTTGGACAAGGAGATTTTGAAAATCCTGGGAGAAGATGACGAAGTGGACGAAGCGGCAATGCAGGCCGAAATCGAGAAATGTTACATGCTCCGGAGTGGCATCAAAGCGACAGCGACGCTTCTTGAGAAAGCGATGAGCAAACCCGCGGTGGCAAGTACGAGTGGGGCGGTGGCGAGCACCAGCGAAGCCACGGTCGAGAGTTTAGAGACGTCGGAGCATGTTGGTACGTCGCCTGAGCAAGCAACACCAGAAAGTTCAACAGTTCGAGCGAGACTGCCGAAGCTCGAAGCGAAGCGGTTCGGCGGAAAAATCGAAGAGTGGCAGGAGTTCTGGGACGGGTTTGAAAGTGCAATCCACAAGAACACGGGATTGTCAAACGTGGACAAGTTCAACTATTTACGAAGCTTGCTAATGGGGCAAGCAAAGGCTGCGATAGCCGGGGTTTCCTTGACGACCGCGAATTACGAAGCCGCAGTACAACTCCTGAAGAAACGGTACGGGAGTCAGGAAAGACAAGCTCATCAGACGGGCACACATACAGGAGTTGCTAAGAGTCCAACCAGTTTATAGCACAAGGGACAGCGGACGATTGAGACATTTGATCGACAAAATCGAGACACATTATCGAGGATTGGAAGCCCTTGGGGTGGACGAGGCCTCATACTCGGATATCGTGGTGCCAGCGATACTAGAAAAGATCCCAGAAGTTGTGCGATTGACAATCACAAGAGACAAACCCCATAGTGAATGGAGTATGAACGATGTGTTGGGCGCGCTGGAAGGGGAAGTGGAGTTGCGCGAAGAATATAGTCGACCAGAAGAAGAGCCAAGAAAGAGGTTCAACGGCAAAAACAGCGGCCTTGGTTCGGGAAATGCCCTACACGTGAAGAGAAATGATGACAGCTGCGCCTTCTGTCTGGGGAACCACAAACACCAGGACTGCAAAAAAGTGGAACTTAAGGGACGTAAGCAAATTTTGATTAAATATTCTAGATGCTTTAACTGCATGAGAAAGGGTCACAGGGCCCGTGATTGTAGACAGGAGCTTGTTTGTGAAAAATGTAAAGGTAAACACCACACAGCTTTGTGTGAGGAGAGTGAGGGAAACGAAGGAGAAGTCCCTGCTGACCAAAGGGTTCCTGGGGCCGAAATTGGGAATTTACATGTGAGCTCTAGCAGCCGTGTAGCTTTTATTCGATTCGCCAAGCCAAAAAACGTTCGTAACAAGTAAGATAGCTAAGTCCGCGAAATTTAAATTAGTTAGGAAAGAGTGGATCGCGTTGAACACATTCGGAAATCAGTCCAGCGGATCGCGGTTGCATGAGGTTGTTTCCATAGATTTGCTTCACACGGGGGGAGCAAAGTCCATACGAATTGAAGCCCTTGTTGTACCCGAAATTTCGCGGATCTCTAACGTGCATGTTGAAGTTGAAAAGTACAAATATCCACATCTGAAGAGCGTTTGGTTCTCGGATGTTCACAGGCAGGCAGATGAACTAGATATAGATATTTTAATTGGGGCAGATTACTTATGGCAATTTCAAACTGGGGTTACCATTCGTGGCGAGCCGGCCGACCCCGTTGCTGTGAAGACAGTGCTATAGGTTGGACATTGTCTGGGCCACTACAATACGATATGAGCAGCACAACATGTCGGGTAGCGCATGTAAATATTGTAGCAAAGGATGAGCCTCTTGCATGTGATGTTCAAAGATTATGGGATTTAGAAACGTTAGGTACACAACCAGTAGATGAGGTGCATGAGGAATTTGTCGATAACATTTCCTTCAGTGAAGGAAAATATTCAGTAAAATTGCCTTGGAAAGAGAGTCACGACAACTTGACAAGTAATTACGAAATGTGTATATCGCGACTGAAAGGTCAAGTTAAGAAGCTTAAGCATGACCCTGCGCTTTTGAATGAGTATGACGCAATTATACAACAGCAGCTAAGTTCGGGCGTTATTGAAAAGGTCGCAAAACTAGAAAGCGCAGAAAAGGTGCACTACTTACCACATTTGGCCGTGGTGCGAAAGGACGCAGTAACGACGAAGCTGCGCATTGTCTACGATGCCTCTGCGAAGAGCGGGGGCAAAAAGAGCGCGTCTCTAAATGAATGTTTACATGTAGGGCCTTCATTGAATCCGTTGCTTTTTGACATTTTAGTACGTTTTAGACAAAAGAGAGTAGCCTTGATTGCCGATATTGAAAAAGCATTTTTAAATATAGAAGTTGATAAAGCTGATAGGGATTGTTTACGATTTTTGTGGTTAAAAGACGCGAAAAATGCAAGTTCAGAAGTTGAGGTTTATAGGTTCTGTCGAGTGGTATTTGGGCTAAATTCCTCTCCATTTCTGTTAAACGCAACTTTAAGGTATCATTTTTCAAAATATAAGGGATTAGATCCGAAGTTCGTTGAGACAATGATTGAGAGTTTCTATGTGGACGATATGGTCACAGGTGACGAGAAGAGTGAACTAGCTTACGATTTATACTTAAAAGCTAAAACTAGGTTAACCGAAGGCGGATTTAAGCTTCGGAAATGGAAAACAAACGACGACGGTTTGAGGGCGCGAGTCGGAAACCGCAATATTGCAACAAAACAGCGTGGAAGAAAATGACTTGAGTTATGCCAAGACGACCTTGGGTTCCGAAGCCACAGGGAGCACCGAAAAGGTTTTAGGGCAAGCATGGGATTCTAAACGTGAAAAGATAAGATTTGATTTTGAAAGTATAATCAGCGCAGCTGAAAATCTTAAGCCAACTAAAAGAAATGTGCTCAGCCTTTTGGCAAGAATTTTCGACCCGCTAGGAATTATATCGCCAGTTTTGGTTAGCATGAAATTACTTTTCCAAGAGCTTTGTGCCGCGAATTATGATTGGGATGGCGAATTACATGAAGAGAAAAAGCAGACACTAAACGCATGGTTAAAAGAGCTTCGTGAAACGAAATTCATTGAAGTCGATAGGTGTTTGTATAAGAGTCCGAAAGAGAAAATATTAGAGTACCAATTTCACGGGTTCGCAAATGCGAGCAATAAGGCGTATTCAGCTGTTGTGTATGTTTTAAGCCGGACGCAGAATGGTTATTATGCACGTTTGATCGCGAGCAAGTCGAGGGTAGCACCGCTAAAAACTTTGACGATACCCAGGCTAGAGTTGATGTCTGAAACTAGATTGATGCATGCAATTAAGAACGCCCTAGGATCGCAGATAGAAGCTAGCCAAATAACATATTGGCTTGACAGCAAAACCGCGCTATGTTGGATCCAAAATCGAGGGGAATGGAAGCAATTTGTGCGCCATAGAGTAAATGAAATATTGAAATTAAGCAGTAAGCGAGAATGGAGACATTGCCCGGGAGAACATAACGTGGCAGATATAGGATCACGGGGAATAGGCGCCTTGCAATTAAGCATGAAAGAGGTATGGTGGTACGGCCCATCATGGTTGACTAAAGGCGAACACGCATGGCCCGCATCAGAAAGCACTGCAAGTGCAAGCACAGAAGAGAGTAAGGCTGAAGAGAAAAAGACGGCAGTTACGCTGCTTACGGAAACGCAATTGCAAGAAGCTGAGAGCATTAATCGCGTAATATCGATAGACGACTTCAGTAGTCGACTAACACTTCTAAGAATAACAGCATGGGTGCGGCGCTTCGCTTTTAACTGCCTTGCGAGATCGAGAGCGGTCGAACGGTTGAGGGGACCACTAACCAAAGCTGAGTACAGTACTGCATTAAGAGACTGGGTGATCGAGGCGCAAAATAGTTTAAGACGGCAAGCGAATTTTGAACAACTAAGAGTTCAGTTTGGGATTGAGGAAGAACAGGGAGTCCTCAAATGTGTCGGACGATTGCTCAATTCGGAATTAAGTATGGAAGCACGAAAACCCATAATACTCCCATGTGAGCACAGACTAACGAAATTGATAATAATAGAGTGCCACGCTGCGGTACATCATGGCGGCGTGAGAGCAACACAAACAGAATTAAGATCGAGATTTTGGGTGCCAAAGGGAAGGCAAACCGTCAAAAAGATTTTGAATGCTTGTGTCATTTGCAAAAGATGGCAGGGCACGTCTTATAGTAATCCAAAAACAGCAGCTATGCCCGAATTTCGAGTAAGAGAGACAGCACCATTTTCTAAGGTAGGAATCGATTTTGCGGGACCGCTGTTTGTGAAAGAAAGGAAGTCGAAGGATATGAGCAAAGCATACATAGCCGTATTCACATGTTGTGTCACTAGAGCTGTCCATTTAGAGCTTGTTAATGATTTATCGGCAGCGACATTTCTAAAAGCGTTAAGACGATTCACAGCGCGACGAGGAACGCCATGTTTAATTGTTTCGGACAACGCTAAAACATTTAAAGCGGCGGCTAAGGCAATTAATAAACTTCAAAACCACCCAGAAATTAGACACGAATTAGATAAGTTGCAAGTAGAATGGAAATTTAATTTGGAACGGGCCCCATGGTGGGGTGGATTTTTCGCGATTATGGTCGGTAGTGTAAAAAGATGTTTAAGAAAAGTATTAGGAAGGGCTAGGTTGACATATGACGAATTGATGACGATCTTAGTTGAGATTGAAGGAACATTGAATTCTAGGCCACTGACATACGAATATAACGAAGCAGACGCGGAAACATTAACCCCATCACACTTAATCTTTGGAAGGAGAATAAAATCATTACCAGATGCACCAAAAGAAGAAGAAGAAGAGAATGAAACTAATTGTACTAGAAGATTCAAACACTTGAGCACTAGATTAATGCATTTCTGGAATAGGTGGAGAAACGAATATCTTTCAGGGCTTAGAGAATATCATAAGAATAGGACAGACAAAGGGAAAAAGGTAGTACAGGTGGGAGATATAGTTACAGTACAGGAAGATGATGTTAAGCGAGGCAGCTGGAAAACAGCAGTAGTGGAAGGCCTTGTGATTGGTAAGGACAAGGTTGTTAGGGGCGCGAAAATTCGGGTCATAACAAAAGGTAACCCAATTCGTATGAGAAGGCCTGTACAAAAACTCTATCCGCTTGAGATCCGGTGTAAGACCGAGCAATTACGAAAGGCAGGGGTGATAGGCGGTGAAGAGTCCAAGTCGGGAAATTCGGCCAAAGGAACCTCTGAGAGAAATGTCCCTCGGAGGGCAGCAGCGATTTCTTCTGAACGAAAAACGAGAGAGATGATTGACTTGTAACCAAGTCAAGGGGAGAGAGTGTTATAAATTAGTTAAGTATATAGTTAAGTAAAACTGTAAAAGTATATAGTTATTAGGGTTATAAAAATAGTCACTAGAGAAAACCAACCGAACAATCGAGGGAAGTGGTTTCGCCCTTGCACACAAGTATGAGGAACATGGTGAAACCACAGATAGCTAACAATGCATAGATACGCAAAGGAAATGGTAGGTAGGTAGGCTGTGGTCAACCAAGCGAGGAACTAATGTAGATTAGGGGGAAATTATGGGCAGTCAAGTGCGTCAGCACTGACCTTCCTCTGAGAAACAAACATCTCATGGTTGAAACAGCAGACAGTATAAATAAGAGAGAAAAGTGAGAGAGCGAGAGAGGGTTTTGAACGGAGTGACAGAGTGTTTACCGAACGTAAGTGATCAGACTTTTAATGAGCTATTATTAATAAAAGTTGAAAACGAATTGTGGTGTCGTGATAGTATACAGTCCCAACGAACGAGAACCAGCAACTATAAAATCTGAGGGATTTTATAACACCTAATATTTTTTCACTTGTCTAACTCCAGACGCTTTTACTTGTCAGTGGGGAACTCTGCCACTTAATGGGTTAACCACAAAATCTGACAATCTCTAGGTAAACGAGAGAAATCAGAGAACGAGAGTTCTATTTTGGAAATGTGATCATATTCCTAGCATGTTTAATAGATATAATTTAATATATAGACTGTTTGCTGAAAATGTTAGTTACTGTTAAAATATTTCGGTTCCACAACATGTTTAATCAAAGTTAAAGATATTGGGTCAAGGCAAATAACTGCAAATGGCCTTTAGATGGTTTCACATGTTTCTAAATACAGTACTGTTGGGTTTTTCGTCGATGTTTGATGAATGTATAACAGAAAATGGCTATTAAGTAAAACTAGCTAACAGAAAAAAACAAGCCCGAATCTGAGATGCCAAAAGTGGTAAAAAAGTTCAAATAGTAGAATCATACACAATACACATGCACTGCAGCTCTATGCCTATGATCGAAAAGCTTTAAAAACGTTCAATCGCTTTAAAATATAATTTATCCCACAGGAATACAACCAATACAATCAATACAACACTCAGAGGCTCTTATACATGCTTGTTAACGAGGACATCCCTCAATATAATATAAGTTCTGAATACACATGGTGACAAAGGTCAATCTTTTACTTTTTATGTTGACATATAGACCATAATAAACATAATTTAGCCGCAATTAGCGAAAACATGACAATGCAAAAACAATAATCTGATATTAAAGTAATAGTTGACTTACTTTCAAGTGTGGCTTGGTATTAAATTAAATTCCAACAGCAGGATTACTCAAACAGCACTTGACCAGATCGGAGAAGAATGTAAGAAGCTTTTAGTTGTCACATTTCGTCATACACGCGATGAACGGGGGGGGGCGGGTCGAAATTGCAGGGGCATGCGGGCAGTGATCTCAATATACTTATATACTTAACTGGAACAATAACATACGAACGGAAAGAATGAAATTGGCGTCACAATAAAATTGCGTGATTGTTTAATTTCCCAACAGTTAGGCTTAAAATATGTGAACAAATTCTAAATAAAGATAATGATCAGTCGAAATTATCCCATAACTAAACCCTTATTTCATCAGTGCATGCATGTTACGAAATTTGTTTTGATACATATATATATATAATAGTATTCGGTTCCCAGTCAACGTGCCACTGTATTTCGTACAGTTTATTATTAAGCTTGGAATATCGGGTCAGAACGTAGAACACGGAATCGTATAATTTGTGGTTTTATATTGATGTAATTATTCGATCTAACAAATAATGATTAACAATTAGATTAGTAAATATAAGTTTAGGTTACATTGGGTTTAAATCATTCTATCTTTGTCGCATTCTATGTTAATATTATAAATGTCTTTACTTACTTCTTGCCGGGTCTACGCGTTCTACATAATCTTTAAATAATCACACATAAATCAAATTAAACAGGTTAGCTAACAGAATAAAAGTCCTTTTCACGCAAACGTGCTCTCGTATCTCTACCTAAATCAGTTCAGTGTTCCCTGGTTCATATTACCTATACAATCTCGTGCAATTAATCAATTAATGTCAATCAAAGTTAATATTATTAAGTTCGTACTTAGTCCCTCATCGAAACATCCTCCGGCCCCGACAAAGGAGAATGCTTTGTCCTCATTCTTCGTCTCCCTCTGCTGGATGGATAACTGCGATCTTTTGCACCGGTCTGGAATACACTCCTGTCGCTGTTCTTACCTTCACGTTTCTCACCTTCTTGTCCTTTCCTGGAAATACTTCAATCACGCGTGCAATTTTCCATTTTCCTCGTACTGCTGTTCCATCTTGCATCATTACAATATCGTCGATTCGTACGTTCCGTTTTGCTGAATTCCATTTCTTTCTTGGGACCAACAGTGGGAACACGTCTCTTGTCCAGCGTCTCCAAAACGAATCTACGATTCTTTGGATGAATTCAACTCTCTTTCTCGGATTCTTCGTTTCTTGGAAAGGACCTTGCGGAACCTCAGGTGACGATCTTCCAAGCAACATATCATTCGGGCACAGATAAACGCCGTCGTCTGGATCGTTCGGTGGTCTTCCGATGGGTCGCTGGTTTACCAAATTCGCTACTTCGAGTAAGCATGTGTGCAGTTCGAACGGGGTTAATACATGTTCACCGATAGCTTTCTTAAGTGCCAATTTACAACTTTTCACTAACGCTTCCGCCGTTCCATTTTGGTGGGGTGCTGCCGGGGTGATAAATTTCCACTGTACACCTTTATCAACACAATACTCTTTTAATAATTTCTTGTCAGCTCCTTGAATCATATTCTTCAGGTCGGTCAACGCTCCGACAAACTGCGTACCATTATCGCTGAGGATCATAGCAGGATATCCTCGGATAGAAAAGAATCGTCGAAGTGTTTGAATGAACTCCATGGCAGAACAATCAGTCGCGATCTCCAAGTGCACAGCTCTCGTATTTAGGCACGTAAAGATAACGTCATAATGCTTTGTTGTCTTGTTACGACTAACTTTGACTGTTAACGGACCGAAGTAATCACAGGACACGTAGTGGAATGGAGGAGAATGAGGTGCTACGCGAAACGATGGTAGATCTGCCATCAACTGATTCTCAACTTGTGGGTTTGCTTCTTTACAAACTACGCAATTAGACTTGATTGTCTTCGCCAGGTCGTGTACTTTGAGTATCCAGTATCGTCTTCTTGTCTTTGCAGCTGTGGTCGCAACACCGGAGTGTCCCATTCGGTGAGCCCTTTCGGTTATCAATCGTGAAACTGTATGGTCATAAGGGAGCAACGCCGGGTGTCGTGTCTCGAATGAAACTAGTGCATTGTCGATGCGACCACCTACTCTGATTACACCTTCTTCATCTTCAAAGGGAGAAAGTGTTCGGAAATCGTTTCTTTTCAGGCGATTCTTTAGACACTTCTGAGCTTCCTTAATCCAGACGGTTTGACTTCTCTCGAGATCTTTCGGGTTTAGTGACTCTTCATTTACCGAATCCTCCTTGCTAGGTCGTCCTATCTTCGCCAGGAACGCATTCTTGAATTTCAGTACCCAGGCTGTGACACGAACGAGTCTCGTCCAATTCGAATAATCTTTACACTCGATTACCTTTCCTATCTGGGCCACTTCATTTGTTACCACATTAACGGCTTTCCTCTTTATGCACTCGCGCTCTACTTCAGTGGGATCAGGTTGTTTGCCTTCGTTCGGCCATTCTTCCTTTGGTCGACGCAGGAATTCCGGACCGTTCAACCAACGTCCCGACAAATCAGGAACAGATAATCCACGGGATACATCATCGGCAGCGTTCTGTTCAGTTGGGATGTGCTTCCATTGGGCCGGTTTGACGTTGCTTCGAATTTCTCCAACTCGACTTGCTACAAATGGTTTTAGACGCTTTCCATTATTTTTAATCCAGGCCAAGACGATTGCGCTATCTGTAAATAAAATACTTTCTTGGAGTTCGATCCGAATTTCTCGCTCGATCGCTTTGCACAACCTGCTTGCCAACACAGCTGCTTGGAGCTCTAAACGTGGGATAGTTAGCTCTTTTAACGGGGCAACTCGTGATTTGGCCGCAACAAATCTAACTTTGATCTCCTGTGGAATTTTCACTTCTCAGATATGCACATGTCCCAAATGCACCTCGCGATGCATCGGCAAATACACATAACGTTGGCGGCTCGACCACTTTCCCTGGACAAATACATCTCTCAAACGATACGTCATTCAGCTGCTCCATCTCTTTGAAGTACGATGACCATTTCTCTTGAATGCTTGGAGGCAGCTCGTCATCCCAGTCTACTCCTTCTTCCCATAATTTTTGGAGGCTGATCTTTGCTCTTACGAGGAAGGGTGAGGCAAAACCGATGGGATCGTAAATTCTAGCAACCTGACTTAAAATCTTACGCTTGGTGAGATCGGTTGTGCAGAATTTCACAGCCTCAATTTCAAATTTGTATTTCAGGACATCTTTCAACCTATCCCACGATACACCAAGTACTTTTGCTTCTGGTTTACATTTTGGCACTTTGATTTCACTTGCTTCCGTGTCACGGTCGTCTAAATCCGTATTCGATTGCCATCCTTTCACTTTGAATCCGCCCCTCTCAAGGATGCTGTCAATATCACCTGTAAGTTTCTTGGCTTCTTCTTTCGTGTTAACTGAGTCAAGAATTTCATCCATATAGGTGTTGAATTTAATGGTACGTGCTGCTTCCGGGTTAATACTCTTTCCTTCCTCGGCTGTCTTTTGCAGCGCGACTTGAGCCATGGCTGGTGCAGGCTTGTCACCAAACGTTAATACATTCATTGCATAAGTGTCAGGCGGTCTGTCCGTTTCTAAATTTCTCCACAGGAATCTGTGCACGTGTTTGTCTTCCAACGGGATGAGCACTCGTTGATACATTTTCGATATATCAGCAGCTACAGCGACCTCATTTTCTCTGAAGCGCAGAATGACACCGAATAAATCATTCAACAGATCGGGTCCCTTTCGCCAGTAGTAGTTGAGTACGTGACCTTGATAAGAAGATGACGAATTGAAGACTATACGAACTGGTGTGCTTGTACTATCGGGCCTGAGAACGGCATGGTGTGAAACATAGTGAACTGGTCCTTTGTAGTCTTCAATCTCTTTCTTGGTTAGCTTACTAGCAAAGTTCATTTCTTCCATCTCGATCATTTTCTGGTTGTAAGTGGCAGCTTCTTTGGGGTTCTTCAATAGTCTGCGTTCTGTCGATTCCAGACGTTTAACGGCTTGTTCTTTATTATCCGGTAGTTCTTTGGGATCCCTTTTCCATGGGTATGGAATCATCCATTGGTTCTCAACTTTCCTGGCCGACTCTTCAATCATTCTCTTCTCTTCTCGATCTAACTGATTCAACTTGTTTGCATCACAAACGCAGGGATGGACTTGTACACCCATCGCTTCAGATGTCCAAAAATCCGACAGATCCACTGGGTTGGCATATTTAACATGGAGAACAGAGGTTGTCACTTTATTCAGGTCTTGGAGTGGCGATCCAAAAATCACCCAACCCAGCGGAGATTTCCGAGCGATCAAACGTTCAACTTGTTTGGTCGGGTCGGTATGCATGTATGCGTGGTCGATTCCAATTAGAAGATCAACATGCCCTCTGCCACGCCTGACTTTCTTCTTCTCCAAGTTGAACTGCTCTTCTAGCTCGCTTGATCGAACACCTTTAATTTCTTCGCTGATGCAGGGGATTCCGATAGCTCGAATCACATACTTTTTTGAATTTTCAATTCCAGTAACGCCCACTTTATATATCTTTGTGTGAACCTCTTCCTCTTCACCTCCGACTTTCACAATATTCACGGTTATATCTTGTCCACTCAAACGTAGATTATCCGCAGTCTCTCTTCTGATTAGACTAATTTGTGCTCCAGAATCCAACAAGACGTTTCCGGGCTTATACACTCCGCCACATCCGCTGAGCTTTGCATTGATCACTGGCAACATCAACTCGTTTTGGTCCGACAGGGAAGCAACACCGATATTTGCCGGGTTGGACTTGTGTAACAATGGGTGATGAGTCAACGAGCATTGATTTCCGTTTACCAGTTCTGTACATTGCTTTCTTCTAGTGCAATTCGCTTGTCGATGGTCTCGTCCTGCCTTCTTTAAGCAGCTGAAGCACAGATGATTGGTTTTAGCTGTATTTATCCGCTCGTCGACGCTCATTGCCGCAAATTTCTCGCATTGATCTGGCCAGTGGCTTGAGTTCTTACAGAGCCAGCACTTGTATCGAGTTTTACCGTTGGCATCAACCTCTCCGCCCGCATAGCCGATTGCTCGACGATGAGGTAAACTACTTCGTACTGAAGCCGTGGCACGCATTCGCGATTTCATCTCGACTGTCATCCAGTTTATTAAGTTGGCCAATGTTGCAGGTTTTGTTTCTCGTTCAAGCTCTCGTGACCACACTTTACGGTCATTGGAACACATTTTTTGCTCAATAATCGAAAGCATGTGACTGTTATCCATATCAGAGGGGATTCCCACTTCTTTCAACGTATTGTAACACCGTCTAACTAGATGAACTAGGTCACAGAACCGTGCGTCTTCGCCCTCACTTAGCGCTTTAAACTTTACTATGTCTTGTGTTATGGTATCCGACACAAACCGGGGGTCCCCATTTATAGAATCCAGGTATTCCCATGCAGCATCGTAATCCGATCCAATTCCCTTTATTAGTTCGAGTGGCTTTTCCTTTAAACAAGTTCTTAACAGTGTGATAGCATCTCGTTTCGTATATCGGGATTCAATGGCATGTTTGAAATCTGCGCGAAATATCATGTACTCACGAACAACACCCGAAAACTTCGGTAATTTTGGCTTTTCCATCTGGAAACTACATTTCGTATTGCTATTAGAAACAGTTCCGGTTTCATTTGTTATTTCGGGTTGCACGGTGTTACTGTTTTGTGTCGATTCTGGCAAGTTGTTGACATGTATTTCCTCAGAAGTATTGACAGGATTTGCTTGCGAGGTGCCTATCACATTGCTGCTGTCATTACCTACACTTGGCTGGTTTGTATCACGATTTGTAGGGGTCGAATTACTTGGACTGTCTGGGTTTGGCATTCCTAACATTCCTGACGCATTTTGCTCGTTTTCTTCTACTATACTCTCGCTGTTCTTGCTAGCATCCCTTTCTATATAGCACTTGGTTTTAATGTGAAGTCTAAGAAAGTCATTTTGACAGTTTTCTAGCCACTGTTCTTCGGTTTCGAAGTCTTTATCTTCGACTATTAAATTTGCGTATTCTTCATGTTTCGAGACTACATTGTCAAATGCCTGCTTCACTTTAGTAAGGTATTCTCTTACCTCCTCTGCTGGTCTGTCATTTTCTTGTAGGAGCACCAATGCTTTACCCAGTCTCGTCAACGAAGCTTTCGCCGCTCTAACAGAATAAAAGTCCTTTTCACGCAAACGTGCTCTCGTACCTCTACCTAAATCAGTTCAGTGTTCCCTGGTTCATATTACCTATACAATCTCGTGCAATTAATCAATTAATGTCAATCAAAGTTAATATTATTAAGTTCGTACTTAGTCCCTCATCGAAACAAAGCTGGTGTGAAATATTATGCTGCCCATATAAAAATATAGACTCCATTTATTGAATACTAGTACGTGCAGTTATATGTATATAGTATCACTCCAATACTGTTTCAAAAATAGCGCCACACAAAGCTTAAAGATTAAAACAAGCATGACGCGGGGCCTTTAATTAAGCACAGCCTTATTATTAGAAGGTCAGCCTTTTTGCGTTCAGTTATTTAAATCAGAGTAGCGAAAATATGAATGACTCAAGCTTTGCCGTATTTCATTCCCACAACGTTTTCAAAACCTTGTGTACTCGTTCAAAAATGACGTTGTATGCCAACATTCTTACAACGTTTTTAGAACCTTGCGCACTCATTAAAAAATAACGTTGTATACCAACATTTCTACAACGTTTTCACAACGTTGTATTTACGTGTTAAAAATGACGTTGTATACAAACATTTTCACAACGTTCCCACAACGTTGTGCACTCGTTGAAAAATGACGTTGCATACCAACATTCCTACAACGTTTTCACAACGTTGTGTTCAGGCGTTAAAAATGACGTTGTCTATAAACGTCTACAAAACGTTGCAACAACGTTTGCAAATATTAATTCGCGATCTGAATGTCGTGTGGACGTTGTCAAAAGGTTAGGTCCGACCTAACCAAAATACAACCTTTAGATATCGTTGCGACAACGTTATGTGTTAGCTGGGTATATGCTACGATTTTTTTTTCTGTCCAATATGCGATAAGTACTACAAGTCCACGAACAAATGATAAAATATGATCAATATTAGTCATAGAGTATGAAACAACAGAACTCTGCGACATGGTATATAAATTCAATAGATATAAGGGATTAAGATTTGACATCCAAAGGGTATCTGAAGGGTGATTTAAACCAAAAGGGCACACCTGGTATATCAAAGTTTAAAACCACGATTGAAAATTATCTAGTGGTTTTAATATCTACCGCCCCTGTTAAGAGACAACGAGAAACTTGTCTTAGAGTTTCTAGAAAAAAAATATTTTTCTCCAGGGAGATGCGCACTCGCATTCTTTGGTTTCTTGACCGCGTTTTTGTAGCGTATAGCACTGTTGGTCTATAGAAACCCGAAAATGTGTGTTCGAATGCAGCTCGTGGCAAGAATGTTTCGTTTCTCTCTTAGCACCGGTCCATGCATGCGCAGGGTATTACATCAAGTCTAGCTGATGGATATCAATTTTGAAAACAATCAAAACATGAAGTTCATTTATGGCACAAGGGGCCTTTATCCTCTCTTGTACACGCTGTATGACTATTTATAGAATCCCTTAGTATACATAAATAAATGGTTAGTCGGTATATTCTTAATCCCAATTATTTTTTAAAAAATTTTACTGTGTGTATGTTAAAAAAGATATCTGCTATATATGTGATATATGTTATTTACACAAATCCTTGAGATTTCAAGTTACAGATAATGGTGTCGTGAAACGCCATTGGTATAGTTAAAATTGTGTTCTGCTTTAATAAAAGTTTTTTTCGGAGAAACAAAGGCATTCCCTGCTCATTTTCATGACGTTTTATGATGCTCATTGCCTTAATTGCTACCTGCTCTGATGATAACAGTAGTTTGTAGCTAAGTTCTTTTCTCGTCTTGTGAAGCCAGTACCCGTAAATGGTTGAGTCCTGCACAAGATGTCCAAGGTCGTTTAGGGAGGATGGGTAATAAAACAACCAGTATGCATCTGCAGAGTCGGTGTAAATGGGAAAGACATACCCTTCATGTTGAATACAAACTTCATAGTTAGCCACAAGTGATTTCAGGGCGTCTTCTGAGAAATACTGTTTTCCTACTGATTTCAAAAGATTAAACTCAGTTTCGGTTATTTTGAGGTCTACTTCCTCCAGATCTTCTTCTTCGATGATACACGTTTCAGCTATGGCAGCCTCCACCTTGTCCATGTCTATTACTTTTGACAACGCCTCGCGTATGTTTTGGGTATTCGTAATGGGTAAGGTCCTAGTTTCTACGTTTGCTGCTTCCTCAGTTTCACTGTCGTCATTTTTTGTCAATTCAAAAATAATGCTATCTTTTTGTTCCATAATCTTCTTGATCTGGTCAGCACCATAGCCGTTTGGCTTTCTAAGTGGAATATCATTTGGAAGGCCAATGATCTTAAACCCTCCTTTCGAATACGGAACTTTTGATCCTGGTTTCCCACATGCCTCACCTAGAAATATAAAAAATTGTAAAATATGCAATTTAACACACTAAACCATTTTTAGCTCGCCTGCACTTTAGTGCAAGAGAGCTATTGCTATAGTCTTGGCGTCCGCGTCCGCGTCCGCGTCCCCGTCCCCGTCCCCGTCCCCGTCCCCCGTGTCCCCGTCCCCGTCCCCGTCCCCGTCCCCGTCCCCGTCCCCGTCCCCGTCCCCGTCCCCGTCCCCGTCCCCGTCCCGTCCCGTCCCGTCCCCGTCCCCGTCCCCGTCCCGTCCCCGTCCCGTCCCCGTCCCCGTCCCCGTCCCCGTCCCCGTCCCCGTCCCTGTCCTCGTCCGTGTCCACACTACATGATAAGTAGTATGTTAAGATGCCACTTTTATTTTCCCATTATTTTCAACTTATCTACTTAAGGAGTCTATTTGTTGCAAAAGAACCATTTACCAGGGGGAAGTGAAAATTATACAACAAAATATAATCATAAGGTCAATGTTAAAATGCTATATTTTTTCTATACTTTGGCTTTACATCAGAGGAATCATTATCAATATAAGTCATCAATATGCATTGTGACTATTTAGTGCCATTTGGTACACATTTATACAATAATAAAGAGAGTTTTGCTCAAAATTATCAAATGATAAGGTGAATGTTAAGCTAATTAGCATAATGATAAGGTAAATGTTAAGATGTTATATTTTTTAAATATTATGGCTTTGCATCAGAAGATTCATCATAAATATAGCTCATCGATATATCTTGTGACTATATGGTGACAATTAGCACATATTTACACAAAATATAGAATTTTGTTCAAAATTATCAAATGATAAGGTGAATGTTAAGCTAATTAGCATAATGATAAGGTCAATGTTAAGATGCTATATTTTTTAAATATTATGGCTTTACATCAGAGGAATCATCATAAATATAAGTCATCGATATGCATTGTGACTATTCAGTGCCATTTGGTACACATTTATACAATAATAAAGAGAGCTTTGCTCAAAATTATAAAATGATAAGGCAAATGTTAAGCTTATTAGCATCATGATAAGGTCAATGTTAGAGTTATCCAGAGCTATCACGCTCATTACGATTTTCAGGGCTATTGGGACCGGTCATTATTTATGGTGGGGGGTGGCACCGAAGAGAAATGTTTTGCTTGATAAAAATTTTACTGACCCAACCATTAAAAAATTAAAATTTTTCTTTACCCAACCTTGAATATTTAATAAAAAATAAGTACCCACCCCTTGCCGAAAACTGTACAAAATGATAGTGGTATTAAGTTGTCATACATGTCCTTTAATTATAACTTTTGTTTTATGGCTTTGAATCTTGTTTTATACTGTATATTAATAGCTTGATAATAGGGTTGATAATTATCAGTACGCCTGATTATAGTACCAACCAACGTACCTTTTTGTCCATAGGCAGCATAGATAAATTTTCTGACTCCATATGCGTATAAAACGAAACAGGCTCCCTATTACCTATAAATATATTACCTAATATAAAACAAGACTTTTTTCAGTTTTTTGGTCTTTGTAAAACCTCAATTCAAACATCTAAATATAACTCATTCGGTATAACAAAACTCAAAAGACCTATCATTTGATATCATGACGTGCTGTGACGTTGTAGGTTCGGTTGCTATGCTAGTTGCTATGCTGTTGACCCTTGACCATGCCCTTGACAACCTTGACAGGTTCGCAGAACCAGGCCCAGTCTCATCAGTGCCACACATTTTTAAAGATGGCGGATGGCTTCGCAAATTTTCTATCGTCTCTAAATTTTACAGCATTGTATTTGGATCGATTTAAGGATACAGGTTATGATGACATTGGTTTGTTAATCGATGCAACCAACGAAGAACTGAACCAGATGTTTGATATTGTGGGTATGTGTACCAAGCCTGGTCATGTTTTGAAATTCAAGAAGTCTTTGGAAAGTCTCAAGCTGGCAAGAACTATTAAAACTGCTGCTGATATAAAGCCTGCGTTGGTGGATCATTGTCAGAATTATTGCCTGAAAAGGATCTCAACTTGCAAGCAACAAATATTCAGAAACCTCAAGTTGAGCGAATGAACAGACAAAACAGTAAGTTATAAAAAATTTAATATGTTTATATTATTTATTGTCATGCATTTTATCAAGTTTTGAAACTTACAACCAAGGCTTTGTGTATTGTTTCCAAAACTTCTATCAGCATCCATGATTTTATTGTATTATTTGTGATTTTGTGTACTGATGTACAGAATTTGCCTGTATTACACTGTATGTCTGATTTATATAATTAAATATATATCTGACAATTTCCAGCTATCTCATTTGTTACTGGCAAGTTTGTTGTTGGTGGAGATGCAGATGTTAAAAATGTCAAACCATGGAGAAGTTCTACATTCTAAATGTGAAGACAGATAGGTTAACATACTACAACTCTATTACTGAAAATGTGTAAAAATCTGCATACTCAAAGAAGCAGTCCTCTTTTCAAGCTTACTTAGAAGGACAACGAAAATTTGCTGGGGCATTAAAGTGGAATTAGAAAATATCCAGAAAGTATTTGAGTCCTACCAATGAGGAGTGGTTCCAAAAGAGAATATAAACTTGAAAAGGTACCAATCTGCAGCCATACCAGCAGATGTAAAGGTAGAAGATGTTAGCAAGTGTCAAAGAGCATGGAAACATATGGAAGGAACTTTGTTTTCTGTGAGAAACATGAAGGAAAAGTTAATGGGTCGAAGAAAGGAGTTGTTGGATGTAAACATGTCTCCAAAAGTTTGGGCAAATGATGAAATAGGCTTCATAGACACTTCTGTCGAACAACTAACACCCATTTTGAATAATGTTGAGAGTCTTGTTAACAATCTACAATTTTTGCTCTCTCAATTGAGAAAAAGATTTGATGCTACTTCGGTTTTAGAATCTGAGAAAAGAAGAAGTGCCAGAAGGCAGAAAGAACAACGTAGCAAAGTTGCGAAGAAAAAAAGGATGAGGGCAGCTATTGCACCTAAAAAATCTAACAATTATCATGATAGTGAGTCGAGTGACTCTGACTGATTTTTATGTACTGGATTGACAATTTGACAGTTGACATGTTTTTATACATAAGTCTTTAATAATTGAAATAGTTGTGCGCAAAAATTACATTGAAATTTTCTTACCCAACCCTTCACATGTTCTGTTTTTCATTTACCCAACCTTTTACTTGCTAAAAATTTTGTTTACCCAACCCTTTTCTCTTCGGTGCCACCCCCCACCATAAATAATGACCGGTCCCTGGGAGATGTGGGTCCCATGTGAAGGGTTGGGTAAGAAAATTTCAATGTAATTTTTGCGCACAACTATTTCAATTATTAAAGACTTATGTATAAAAAGCATGTCAACTGTCAAATTGTCAATCCAGTACATAAAAATCAGTCAGAGTCACTCGACTCACTATCATGATAATTGTTAGATTTTTTAGGTGCAATAGCTGCCCTCATCCTTTTTTTCTTCGCAACTTTGCTACGTTGTTCTTTCTGCCTTCTGGCACTTCTTCTTTTCTCAGATTCTAAAACCGAAGTAGCATCAAATCTTTTTCTCAATTGAGAGAGCAAAAATTGTAGATTGTTAACAAGACTCTCAACATTATTCAAAATGGGTGTTAGTTGTTCGACAGAAGTGTCTATGAAACCTATTTCATCATTTGCCCAAACTTTTGGAGACATGTTTACATCCAACAACTCCTTTCTTCGACCCATTAACTTTTTCTTCATGTTTCTCACAGAAAACAAAGTTCCTTCCATATGTTTCCATGCTCTTTGACACTTGCTAACATCTTCTACCTTTACATCTGCTGGTATGGCTGCAGATTGGTACCTTTTCAAGTTTATATTCTCTTTTGGAACCACTCCTCATTGGTAGGACTCAAATACTTTCTGGATATTTTCTAATTCCACTTTAATGCCCCAGCAAATTTTCGTTGTCCTTCTAAGTAAGCTTGAAAAGAGGACTGCTTCTTTGAGTATGCAGATTTTTACACATTTTCAGTAATAGAGTTGTAGTATGTTAACCTATCTGTCTTCACATTTAGAATGTAGAACTTCTCCCATGGTTTGACATTTTTAACATCTGCATCTCCACCAACAACAAACTTGCCAGTAACAAATGAGATAGCTGGAAATTGTCAGATATATATTTAATTATATAAATCAGACATACAGTGTAATACAGGCAAATTCTGTACATCAGTACACAAAATCACAAATAATACAATAAAATCATGGATGCTGATAGAAGTTTTGGAAACAATACACAAAGCCTTGGTTGTAAGTTTCAAAACTTGATAAAATGCATGACAATAAATAATATAAACATATTAAATTTTTTATAACTTACTGTTTTGTCTGTTCATTCGCTCAACTTGAGGTTTCTGAATATTTGTTGCTTGCAAGTTGAGATCCTTTTCAGGCAATAATTCTGACAATGATCCACCAACGCAGGCTTTATATCAGCAGCAGTTTTAATAGTTCTTGCCAGCTTGAGACTTTCCAAAGACTTCTTGAATTTCAAAACATGACCAGGCTTGGTACACATACCCACAATATCAAACATCTGGTTCAGTTCTTCGTTGGTTGCATCGATTAACAAACCAATGTCATCATAACCTGTATCCTTAAATCGATCCAAATACAATGCTGTAAAATTTAGAGACGATAGAAAATTTGCGAAGCCATCCGCCATCTTTAAAAATGTGTGGCACTGATGAGACTGGGCCTGGTTCTGCGAACCTGTCAAGGTTGTCAAGGGCATGGTCAAGGGTCAACAGCATAGCAACTAGCATAGCAACCGAACCTACAACGTCACAGCACGTCATGATATCAAATGATAGGTCTTTTGAGTTTTGTTATACCGAATGAGTTATATTTAGATGTTTGAATTGAGGTTTTACAAAGACCAAAAAACTGAAAAAAGTCTTGTTTTATATTAGGTAATATATTTATAGGTAATAGGGAGCCTGTTTCGTTTTATACGCATATGGAGTCAGAAAATTTATCTATGCTGCCTATGGACAAAGAGGTACGTTGGTTGGTACTATAATCAGGCGTACTGATAATTATCAACCCTATTATCAAGCTATTAATATACAGTATAAAACAAGATTCAAAGCCATAAAACAAAAGTTATATTAGGTTGTAGCTGAATCATATTTAACGAAAGTATTTGTACAACCCTAAGCCAAATGAGAAACTTTCAAATATTTTCACCTGTATGCTACCATTTGTTTGCATTGTACATGTACAATTATAAATTATGAGATTGTGTTGTGACATGCCGTATCAAAATTCAATCGCTTATTAAATATTGAAATCATTCAGGGAGTGAATATATATAAAACATAGTCCAACGTTAAAGTTTAAAGAATATTGTCAGATAATTCGCAATTACAAGCTTTAGCACATAAGTATTTATAAGTAGAAAGCCGATAGGCTCGGAATGCAAAGGCAAATGGCAACGCATGTGACATATATTTGCATATTATTTATGTAGATACACATGCAAATATATTATTAAAGCCAGTTAAATTGTAGACAGGACCCTTTGAACTACCTATAAGATTTATGTACATACTTTTTCGTTGTTTGATGCATAATCCTTTTTTGTGTAGATATAAAAATCCAATCTTGTTTATTTCATAAAGCTAGGCGCACACACGAAGATTTTTAATAGTCTGCCGATTCCTGTCTAGCTTGTCTAGATGGATGTTTTCATCAAAATGTGGCGACTGGCGATCTATACACGCGCGAGGCGCGAGCGCCGCGAGAAGGAAAACATGCCTGGGCAAGGGCTGCCTACATGTCTAAACCTGAATGGACCAACTACCGTAAAATCGTTGTGTGTGAGCCCGGCTTAAAGCAGGGACTTTTGCCTCGTCCGTTAACTTACCTGTTGATATCACGTGCGCGGATTGCGAGAAACGGAAGAAATATTGGTCACAAATAAAACTAATGTAATTCCGAGGCCAGTTTTGGCCAGTAATTCTGAGGTCACAACTAATATCTGAAGTTTGTGCTTAATATTACCTTCCAACGCGGATTTTAGCCTTGTAATTTGTAATGAAAAGATCGGTAATTTGTGCTTCATACAGATACCTTTCATACAGAGTTTAGCCTTATTCTAGACAAACAGTGCAGGCGAGCGTTAGGTGATTTCAGCACCTCTCTGGTTGGATAATATGGCAAGATAGACACATTGACTGAGATGCGTACAAATGCTGTCCATGCCTGAAGAACCGGCTTGACGGTTGCCGTCCGGTCACTGGGCTAAATTAGGAAAAAAACAGTTGTTTCTTCTGTGTGTACACAATTAAGTGTGCAAATGCTTATGTACATTAAATTGTATACTGACGGACCCTAACCCACAGACAGGCAGTACGCCCATTAAAAACACATTTACGCACTGTATTTATTGTTGAA